ACTAACTAATCTAATTGAACATTTGTTAAGTTTCGGAATATGCGAAGAAGTCCCTTTCTAGTTTTCCTTATGCATATATCGCATAGATATTTCCTACGTTAGACAAGGGTATTCCAGCTTCAGCGAAGCCTAAACTAAATTCCGTTTCTTGTCTCGTTTATTATTAAATCAAAGTTGATCACTTGCCAATTTGTTGGGTTATGGAGCTAAATGGATGCTCCTCGTACGACCTACTGCTCCCTGGCATCTGCTCGATGATGACGATGATGATGATGATGCTGCCGCTGCTGCTGCAAGTGTTCTTCTATTTATATACACGGACGGGAGAATCACTGCGGTGATCCGTTTTTGTGCTTAGCTCTAGCGAAATGTAGTCGTCGTCGCCGCCGCCGCCGTCTTGGCCAATAATAGTCGCAACGACATTTTTCTCTTGACCAGGAGCATGAGGTAGGGGTACGTATTGGAAGGGGAGCTAGCGGTAATGGAATCTATTCACATCGATGCTAAATCCGGGCAATATATACGTATATATATATGAAGTACGTTATCAACAAACAGGCCTAGTGTGGAACCGCCCGCCCTCACTAGGGTCGGTGTTTGCCAAGTGAGTCATGAATGACCCATGAATGGGTGCAATTGTGTGAGGCCTCCTATACCGTGTACCTATTGAAAGTGACATTAAATACGGTATATTGCCTTGAAGACAATGCATGTCACATGTAGGGAGTAATATCCCATATTCATTCTGTATAGATTATATACAATAGACAGATCAGTACTTGAGCCGTTCATATATAGTAAAAGTAATCATGTAATGGAAAAATGTCGATTTTTTCTATTTTCTATTTTGTTAAAAAGTAGTAACGTTTTCATAATCTTGTTTCATCTTCTATTGGGCTAACGATTCTAGGTTTTTATGACATCTCATTTCCCTAATATCGATTTCTATTTAAGCATTCTTAAGGGACATATAAAGCATACTCTCTGCATACCATCCCCATTAGACGACTATTCTTTAATTTCTTCTTTTAGATACTTGCTGCTTTAGCTCAGCACAGGTTATCGTTTAGTCGAATACATCGTACGCTTGCACCAAATCGTAATAAACACTTGACGAATTGAAGGGCAGACGCGAGGCGCCGTTGATAAAACGTTTTCGTGGAATCCAAATGCACTAAACAAATAGAGGGGAAGTCCGGAAAGTCCAATGAGCGCAGCGCCTGATACTTGCTAAATTGGCTCCTCCTCTTTCTCTCAATGAGCAAACAAAAGCTAATTGATAAGTCATACACACAACATACAACAGCACACACACACAGACGAACACTTGTGCCATTTGTGAGGCAAGGAAGCAACAGGTGACAGCAGCTGCTTGCTATGACACGCGTGCGTTCTCAATACAGCGATCGTTCGCTAAATAAGATTTCCTTTTATTACCTCTGTTAAGTAGTTAACAGTGTGCATTCTACTTACATTTCTGTTTGTTCTTATCCATAACAGCGCCGCTGTTAGAGTCCTCCAATCTATACATCTGGATTTTCTTGTTGGTTTAATGCTTTTTATGCTGAATTATGTTTATGATATATATATCT